ACAGAAGCTGCACGTGCAATCTGATTACACTTGTCCTGCTGGCAAGGAAGGGAAATTTTGAAAGCATTATCTGTCATTAAGTCAGATCCTGAAGCGTTTTACATCACACTTAGAAATCTAAATTAATCTCAGGGATTTTTAAAGGGACATAGAAGTGAACAGTGTTTTCTAGCTGCAACTGAGATAAAAAGCTTATTTTTAAAATTAAGCGGTGCAAGGTCAAAACCCATGGAACTTGAAGGGTTTTTTGTTGGTGAGTGTTCTGATTTTTTGTTTAACATTTTCAAGCTTACTTTATTAAATCAGGGGTAAAGCAAAATCAGTCATACAGATGGAACAAAAATACTTCAGCAATGAAGGTTCCCTGTTCCACCCTGATACTGTTCTGATGTTTATTCAGATGCCTGCTGAAATCAGTAACCTCTAGAAGCCTCACAGAGACACAGCAAAACCCAATTTTACCTAAAGGGAAATCATGGCTGCATCTTCCACTGGTAATTTTACTTACCATGCGTCCATACATTTTGATAGGCAATCCACACTTATCACAAAAATGGACCGGTGTATCATCCTTCTCCCCCAGCAAGTTTATCTGAGAGGACAGAGAAGGGAGCGGGGAAACAAACCCCAACATTACTAAAGCTTCATGTTTCAATTATCATTAACACCCCCCTTATTTCTGAATTAGCTGAGAAAGAAGCAAGAACACCATAAACAGGACAAAGCAGAGAATGGACTTCTAACCAGTCAAAAATAATGGGAAACACTTTTAATAAACAAAGTATCTACCAGGACTACCTACAGCTTGGTATGACACAAAGGCAAGATTCATGACTTCCAATCCATGACTTTACCTTATAGTCCCAAAAGATGGGTCCTGGAAACCTCCTTTGATTGCCAAACATTTCACCTCCTTTGCATTCATATCGCTCCTCTTTGTTATAATCAAATTCTTCTGTGGAAAGGAGAAAGAGAAGAAAGACACAAGCCAACCACAACGCTTTTCTAATTGATACCAGCTGCTATTAAGAGCGTGGGTCATTTATACTGAGATCATCAAATAGTGCCACAGAACTTCCAATCTGCTGAGACCATTCTAAGGAAACACAGAGCCAAAATAGCAAGACAGTCTGTTTTGTAAATGGGCACTATTTAAGCCCTACAGTGCAGCAGTACCTGACAATCTGAAACTTGTTTTGCACTTGGACAGAACCCTGGACACTAAGTCTCCAAGACAGGACAAAATCTTGAACAAACTGCAGAATAATACGATTCCCTACTACAGGGAATTTATATTAATTTACCTTCATCACCAGCTTGTGTCTTCGAAGGCATCCTGTTCATATTTCTTGGAGTTCGAGGTGCAGGTTTGGTTTTATTGGTCTGTTTTGAAATAAGCTTTATAGGGATTCTTCTACGGACATCAAGACCACCCAATGATCCTGAACTATTTGTTCCTTGCAAATCATTGTCTATGAAAGAAAATTAAAAAAAAAAAAAATCTAATTTTTCACTTATCTAATAGTTTCTAAAGAGGCTAAATATTAACAAAAAGTTGTAGGAAAAGTAATGTTTAAAGCTTGTTTAAGAGTCATATAACATATCAAAATTTAATCACTAGAAAATAAGTACCATCACATAAAATTTCTCCCAGAAGTGAAGTCACAAAACTGTACACACAGATCCGTGATTTTAGGAATTCTAGTTCTAAAAATACAGCCACTTAAGTAAGCTGGCTGGTCTGTCATTTCTCCACAACAGGACAAAAAATTGAGTGTATAGCTCCTTTCACAGTAGGAATAGCACTGAAGAGTCCATTTGTTGTACAACCTTGGCACCACAGAATTTCTGAGAAAATTTTTACAATTTATGTAAATTGTTTATTAAAAGTAGGAAGGAAACTAGTTTCTCTCTAGTTAACTATATTAACTCAGCATCTTGACATATCACTTAGAAGTTTATGATACAATTTCACAAAAATATAGGTACTTAGGAGTACCCATAGGGGTACCCTATGGGTACTTAGGAGTATCCTGCCTACACTGAAAATTGTTCCCCACTACACACAGAGTTCTCTTTAACCAGATTTAAATCTGAGTACCAGGGTGAAGGAAGCAAGAAACAGTCTAACACGTGCATCAGCAGGTACAGGTTTCAATCAATAACCCAGAGCAGGTATTGCAACCAGCAACACTAACAAGGTGGGTATAACTCCCTCAACCTCCAGTGGGTTTTCCTGAAACTGCATCTCAGTCACACAAAAACAAAGTTATGCCCTTCACAAATCTTTGAACTGAAAATGTTGTATTGGCAGCTGTTTGGAAGCAAGGCATGCTCAGGCTGGAAGGGGTGAGCCACAGGCTGTTCCAGCCCTGCCCTTCCATGGATATGGCACTGGAGCCCCGGGATGACTGCTGAGGCCCCAAAGGATTGCAGCACAGCAGCACCTGGACACTGAAATTAGGGCCCTGTAGTGATATGCCTTACCAGCTACTGTCCCTCAAAGCCTACAATCTTCCCACACAATGCAACAAGTAGAAGGAAAAATAAGGAAAAAGGGATTGCTCTGGGTTATTCAGCAGCCACTGCCAAAGCCAGGAAATGTGTCAAACTGGGCCTGTGCCCTGCCAGTCACTTCACCTCAAAACCCAAAGCCCTCAACTTCCTCTGATAGATCGAATTCCTCTCAGCACTGTGGTTGGCATGCTTGACTCTAAAGACTCTAATATGCAAAAAAGGCAAAGCAATAAAGCTTGTTTTTATTTCTGGTCATTTGTTACTTGCATAGGCTGTCCAGATAAACCTGCAAACACTCAGCTATGACACTGGGCTTCCCTGGGGCCTGCTGAACCACAACATCAGAGGTAAAGCTGTTATCCCACCAGAATACACAAAACCACAACACCATAAACCAGAAAAAGTCCTTGCAGAACCTCAGTGCCGTTTGCAAATAGGGACAACTAAAAAGAATTTTAAAAATCCCAAACTTGTGTATTATTTAGTCCACTGAACTACCAAAACAAAACTATTAAGTTTTGGTGCTTTTCTTCCACATACCCTAGCAAGCCACGAAATATTTACATGAGTTAGCCATTCAACTAATCCAAACTAGCAAGTTTATTAGTCATTCATGTCTCACAGAAAGATAATAAATTCCAGTCTGCGTGAGCATAACTAGCAGGATTATGTCAAGAAAAGAAACACAACAAACATTCCAAGGTTGTTAAGACTACTTAGAGAAGCTCTAATTAGAGGCGATGCCGTCTCCTCAAATGTTACTTTCATCAACTCAGCTTTCATTTTCGCATTTCAAGCTTTATGAAAATCCACTGATATAGGCCAAATACCTTATACATACAAGTTTATAATCCAACCTTTGCTAAAAGAATGGTAAAAACCCCCTCCAGAATACCCTAGCAAAAAGCCGGCGTCCTCTCATCTAGACACTGCACTCCACACCGAAGGGCCACAGCTACGAAACCAAATTTCAGCACAGGAGGGGGTTTCCTGTCAGGCCACAACTACGGCACCAGAAAACACATCGTGGGCACCGATCCCTGGAAACGCCGCGGCCAAACGAGCGTCTCTCCGGCACCTCCGGAGCGCCCCCGGCTGCGGCCGGGCCCGGGCACTCGGCCGGCTCAGCGCAGCCCGCGGGGCCCGGGGGACGCAGCTCTGCCCGGCACGGCGGTCCCGCCGGCAGCGGCCCCCCTGTCCGGCCGAGCCCGCTGGGCGCGGGACAGCCGAGTGGGGGACAGCGCCGGGGCCGCCGAGCCGGGGGCAGCGCTGAGGCCGCCGCGCCCGCCCGGGACGCGAACAGGCCCCGCCAAGCGGGGACCCGCGGCGCGCCCGAGCCCCGCCGGCGCTCCCGGGGGCCGGGCCGGTCCCGCCGCCGCCGCCGAGCCCCAGAGCCCCCGAGCGTGCCCGCCCCCCGCCCGGCGGCGGGCGCGGTGCGGGCGGGCCGGGCCGGCCGGGAACCCCCTCCCCGCTCACCATTGTGGTCCATGATGCGGCGCGCGGCCCGCTGGGAGCGGAAGGGCGCGCCCGGAAGCGGCCGCGGAGGGGGCGGGGCGGCTGCGGGGGGACCCGGCACGGATCGGACGGGACGGGATGGGATGAGATGGCATTGTATGGCATGGCTCGGCATGGCTCGGCTCGGCCCGGCCCGGCACGGCAGGGCCGCCTCACATCGGGACCCGCTCCCGGCAGCCGCGGTGTGCCCACGGCGCCTGCCGGGACCGCGGTCTCGGGGGTGCAGCGCCGCGAGTCGTCGTAAATAGGGGCCGTGACCCTGCGTGTTCCTGGAGAAGGGTGGAATTATGAAATGCGAGGGGTGTCTCAGTGCGGGACCCACGGCGGCCCCCCCGGCCCGGTGTGTAGTGCACAGCGGAGGGTCTGACACTCCGTGCTCAGCCTTGAGTGTTACCCTGGGAGCGGCAGATCCCTGACAGTCGGGCTGTAGGAATGATGGAACGGTGACCCTCCAGAGCACTCAAAAGCTTCTCGGCACCAGAGCTCAGTAGCTCAGGAGAGGACTGAACGTAATTTCCATAAACTTGGACTTTTGTAATTCCCATGTAACTCGGTGGGATAGTCTTTTATAGAGTGCTTCCACAGCACTGAAGAAAGAAAAAATATAAGTAGAACTGAATCGCGGGTTATGAGTAGAAAATGGCCTCAAGCAGTCCTTCCACAGCCCCAAAGTAGGGGTAACTCCACGCACTTCAGATTGGTGATTGTCTTAATAGAAGCCACCTGGATCGGGATCTTGCGTCCCTACAGACAATGTCTCTCATTATCTTTACAGCCTTAACATTTAAAAGCTGCCATTTAATTCTAACATTTCCTGTCTTACCCCCACAAGGCAGACAGGTTTTCCCTTTTGTCACAACTCAGACCTAAGTGAAGCATGACACTGAACCCTTCATAATATTCTTTATCTCCCCATAATAAGAATTAATAAGAAGACTTTAAAAACTCCCAAACACGCAGATGCAAGGAACACGTTTACAGTGTGCACAACTTTATTTTCTAGTTAATGGATACACTTATTTTTCAAATGCAGCTTTTTAAAAGGGTAAAAAAACTTAAAAATACATCTCCAGATTTAATACCTGACATGCAAAGACAGAACAGTAATACTTAAAATACAAAAATATCGCTTCTTCATCCAACTGGAAAAAGGACATCTAGTTGAATGATGGATGTTTGAATTAGTACAAAACTGTAGAGAAATTTAGCTTTGTTGCAAAATCCATTATTTTGGTGTCCTTCATTTTGATGGATACATAGAAAATTAAGCCCATACTCCCTGACCCACTGAAAGAGGGATTTGAATGCTTTCAGCGTATTACCCTCTTACCCTTCTATGCCACTGCAGGCTTTGTGTGAAATGCTGTTATTAAGAAGTTTAATATTTTGTGCCAGTTAAATTAAGAACAGATACAGCCATGCCTGGAAGAACTATGCAGGCCAAAGATAAGTGCATTTCATCATACTTTATCAAAATCACAGCAGAAGTGTTGTATTTGGAAAGGAACTGAAGACTGTTGAATATTTAATTGCTTTTTAAATACCTGTATGGTCAGGAAATAGAGAAAGCTCAAAATATAACATAAGCCCACATGTCTGGCAAGTAAGAATCTATACTCAAAACTTCTCAGTGCATATGTTCCCTTGAGGAAAAAAAAAATCATTTTTGCTACAATTTTTACCATCTTTTCCATAGTATATGTCCTGCATAACAATTAACTGAAAGCTCATTTACCAGTCCCAGATAGAAAATTTTACTTTTTACATAAAATGTACATCTGTTTTAGAAAAGCAACACAGCTTCTAAGAAATATGTTGCTGGCCTTGTCCTTCTGTTACTGGCCTTGTGCACTGGCAGCAGCTCCCTGCAGTCAGGTTTATAGAAGCTGGGGCCGTGGTCTAACAGGAACTTCAGGTCAGTAAGGCAGGCAGAAGTGCCACCCAGCTGGCAAATGGGAGAGGAGGAGGGCAGGTAGCATTAAAAGCGTGAATTGTCAAATCACAGCCTGGGCTGAAGCATTAGTGTAAATAGAAATTATTAGTACCATCCGAACAGGTGCAGATTGGTCTGATTTGCCTCCTCCTTAGGTGGTGGAGATGCCCATCTGACATACAAATGGCCTATGTCCATTATGAATACAATCCTGCATTTTGCTGGCTTGGACATCACCTCAGTTCAAGCCTGTATTGCATTTGAAATGTCAAACTTCACTGACTGTTGTGAAGGCTGAATTTTTTGGCCTTAATTAAGAGAATAAGGATGTTTGTCTGGTGCTGTTACCTGCTATGTAAGACACTGTCCTACTGACTGAAGTTTACAGGATTTTTTTCCCACTGATTTTGATGGATTTCATTCAGGTCCTTAGGACAGAATAATTTATTTAGTGCTTAGCTTTACACCTGAGATTTTCCACTAACATCAACCTGCAGCAGAAATCTTCTCTGAGCAGTGTGATGTACAAAAATTTCTCCGATGTAATCAAATAAGGAGACTTAAATATGTGAAGATACTGAAGCTTATTAGCTCACATTGTTAAAGACATTTTATACCAGGGCATTTCTTACACTGTTGTTTTTATCGGTTTCCTCATCATGAATGGTTTTCCTCCATTTAAAAAAATTAATGTAGTGCTAAAAAATTTAAGGTAGCAGTCTGTTTTACATAAAAATACATTTCTTCTTAATGAAAATTAGGAACATTAATTTCCTGCATATCTACTTTATATAATCTGAAAGTAAGAATTAAAGTTTTGCAGGTCAAATCCTTTATCTTTTGTAAATGATTGCACTTGCGCGTTATGGACTTTCAAATGTAAAAGAACAGCAGCAGTTTGATGTAAAATATTAAAAGAAAAAATATGCTCTATAAAAAATATAACTATTCATTAAACAAAAAATACTCCTATATTCCATTTAAAAAACCCCATAAACCTCTATACTAGGTCATATTCTGACTTTCGTGCTTACACTCAGTAGCAGCTTGTTCTACAGATTCCATTAAGCACTTGGGCACTAAGGTTTTCCTTAATTTATGTCATGATCTGCCTCTTGATGAAGGTTATGTAACCTAGCCAAAATAATCTGTGTGTACTTCATTTTAGGAACAATCATAAGTAGTAGTGCATGTTTTGCCACAATGGGATTAATACAGAACTAATGAGCCCATATCCAAGCGTCTTTTGAAACTTATCCTATTCAAAATTTTATAGTAGTTCAGTGCTGTTTTCTCTTCATGTGACTGTTTCACCTGCCACCTGTTTCAGTGATCTAACAACCTGCAGCAATTTAAGGAATTGATTGGAAAACATGATCGTGACACAGCACATATTCTCACACTAATGTTCTAGAATTCAAAGTCTTGGCCAGCTAGAACTCCTGTCCTTTCTCTAGGCATTGTAGAAATACTGAACAAAAGGCTTGCCATCCAAAGATTTTGGTCTGTTCAACTCTCCTGGGCAGACCCCAATTGAGCTTTTCATCCTGTACACAATGATAAAAGTCTAGCGCATCTTCTGCTTGACTAGTCCCAAAACTCAGTAAATCTTTTGTAATCGTCTTCTGATTTTCTTTTTTATTAAAATGTATCATAGTGGAAAGTGCTTGCTGAATTGAGGTCCAGAATATTTCCAGGACAATGTTAGCTAAAATTTGGACATTTATATAGATCTGTATCATTCAGAAAAACAATCAGGGTTTTCTTCAAGTGCAAAGATTGGTTTAATTGCAGAAAATGTTTATATAGTATGGGTGTGTAAATATTGCTGTGAGTTCACAGGCAGGACAGTACCAGCAGTCCATCTTCATGAAGCAAGTCTGCGCATAGCCTAGAGAAATGGTTTTTAAAAGGTGGAGAGAAACAGGCTGTGGTTAGTTTTGAGTATACACCACCTGGGAAAATAACACATTTGTGTATGTGTTAACTAAAACTCAGTGAAAGTACAGAGAAAGTAACTTCTGTAAAAAAAGCAGATTGTGCAAGAAGGTGTCTGCTGTGTTAAAAGGAGGAATGAAAGGGGGATGTTGACCATAATTTTGGACTCTGGTGCCTCAAGCCTTACCAAATCTTCTTTTATGCACCTAATGTGTTTAGATCTATTTATAAGCCTGTGTAAGGCAAAAGTAGCCCTAAAGTGACAGAGATGAGACACTTATGCAGATATAATTGACTACCATCTCACTTCCTCCACTCAGCCCTGACATCCAGGTATCAGAGAGGGTATTTATGAAGAAGATAACAGTTGAGGGCCATACTCTAACAGCATGACTCAGAGCTACAGGCAGAGGGACAGGCATATTCAGTTCTGAAGTGCATACCTCTTCCTGAACATCAAGTTCATCATCAGGCCGGCTTGTTTCTGTGAACTCTAGGGGTTCTTTAGACTCCTGCATGAGTGAAATCTTTGAAAAAAATTGAGAAACATGATGAGTTGTCCATATCATTGAAATTGATTTTTTACTCTGAAGTACCTTAAAGATAACTTCCCCAGCTTACAAGAACTGTTGTTTACTATTCTTTGACAAAGACGTTGACTTAGTTCAGCTGAGAGGAACTTAAAAATTGCAGAGCTTTTTGGTCTTGTCTCTGCTCACACATCTAGTAATAGCTTTGTAAAAATGATAAAAACAGATCCTATCTCTAAACTGCTGTGTAGACTGTATAAACTGCATTCACAAAATGTTAATCTCTAAATGTTAATCTCTAAAACAGTAGTATGCAAAAATGATAAAAAAGCCCTGTCCTAGTTATTTGTCAGTAATATTAATTGTGATTGCTATATATTCATAATATTGTAATAGTGATTGCAAGGGAAGGAATTGTGGTGAAAAAAAGAGGATATTATACGACCATTTTCCTAACGTGGGCCCACATCTTTACATGCTACAGAGTTTTCTGGTTATGTAAAAAACCACAAAATACAATCAGGAAATGCACAGAAAAGGGCAGTAGGAATGAACACTAGCTTGGAATAGCTTTGGTACGCATCCACACCAAGTAGAATGAGCTTGTAGCTTTGATCAGAGGTCTATGAAATATGAATAGTATTGGGAAAGGGAGCAGGGAATGATTATTCATGGCAGCTAACCATCCAGAAGTCCAGCAGGCTTAAACCAAACAAGAAATATTTGTCATATAACACATTTTAAAGTAGAGAATCCATCTCCACAGGACAGTGTCAAGCTAAAATGTGTGAAGAGGTTCCAAAAGGAGTACGACAGACACACTGAAGAAAACTCCATCTGTGAAAATTAAATATAATGTTCCAAATGCAACCCTCCAGCTGAGGAAGTTCTTAAGCTGCCACTTGTCAGAAACTAGAAAATGTATCTTAGGATGAAGTGTTCTCCATATGTCCTGTTTCTCCTGTTCTTTTCACAAACAAGCTCCTGAAGTAGACGGACCGTTCCTTTGATCTAGAAAAATATTCATGTACTACAGAAACTGCCTGATTTACTACACTCTCACTTTTTTTTGTACTACAGTTCTTTGTCTAGTTTTCAAATGTGCCATGCTGTAATGGAAATTGCAGGAATGGGTGCTGGATGATAGAAGGAGGGGAAGCGTACTACAGGATATCCTTACCTTCTCAAATATAGGATCTTGGTTGTCACTGTATGTCATTTGATTCCTTATGTAGAGCACAGCATCATGGACAGTCAAAAAGAACATGTCTTTTCTGACACTGTCATCAAAGAAGGAGCTCCGTTCCAGCTGAGATATAAGGTTGTCTGAATAAAAGAAAGTCATAAAAGGTTTATACAATCTGAAGTAACTTCAAAAATAAATGTCAAAATGGTTACAACAATCAGAAATCAAACATACAGCCAAATGAATCCATCAATCATATCTTTGACTTGACTTTCCATATTTCCTTTAAACCCCACCATTCTTTGTGTCCCACAAGAGTCCAAAATGTTTATCAGTGTGATAATTCACATATTTATTAGCACAAGTGTTCCCACAGACACATCTAGTGATCCTTTCTCATCTTCACTTTATTCTTTGCATGAGTGATAGTAGAAATATTTGGGTATTTACCTTGATATGAAGCAAAATATACTCTCACATCAATTCTCTCAAACTCTTTGATTATCTAAAAAAAATAAAAGTTTGCAAGAAGTACGTAAATAAATAAAGTCTGAAAGGAGAAAATACATACATGTATATATGTCTACAGAAGTAATGTGTAGGCACACACACTTCATTTTTTTCTGTGTCTTCCTTCTGAACTGTACATTCTGTTTCTTCATTGTAAATCTGGTACTGCTGTACTAGGCTATACTTAACGATCCAGTCATTAAGTGCCTGGTTGCTGAAGTGGCCTATCTTTGGCTACGTAAGTGGAACTATCCATGTTACACACATAAACATTGCTGCCAATGAAGGTCCTCATTCTGTTCTCATAATATCAATAATCATCTCTCGAAACAAGAGCATGTGGGCCTGAGCAAGCTTTTTTCCCCCCCATGTATGTGTGATACAATACCATTATTCGCTGGCACATGCAGGTTTTTTTACACAGATTCTTCCCTCGTGCAGTGCACCAGATGGACCTGTTCTTGGATGAAGAAACTACATTTGGAAAGAGTCATATCTATGGAACCCATATCTCTTTTGTCTCAGGAGCCAAAAGTGAGTTGAAACTATGCAGAAGGCTGAAGCAAAGCACACACCACTCTTGTATTTCACTGAGTTAAAAGGTGGGAGACTGGAATCTACCCCTGGCTCCCTGGTGTCAGGCAAGTCTCTTAGAATAGTGTATTCAGAGGTGATTACCAATTCCATTCCCTTCTGTTTACTGATAAACTAGAGTCTGATTTATAGATAGGCTAAGCAGTCACAATTGCAAAATTAAGTTAGTGAAAGCAGCATTCGGAACATACAAAATATCATAAAATACTAAAGTCTGAACAATCTGATCCTATACATTTGTAACTGGGCACCAAAAAATAATTGAAATACTTGGCCTTAATCTCTGCACCTTATTTCCCTTTCCTTAAACCAGGAATATTATCTCTTTACTATGTAGTGTGATGTTTGAAGATGAATTAATGAATCTTGATGAAGACCCTTATACTAGACACAGAAAATACAAAGAAATTAATCATTCTTCCCTCCTTCATAATATATCAATGAATAAATAAATCAGTGGATAAATACTGAACAGGGATGGTAAGATGAAATTTTTACTACCTCTGTGTTGAGTGAGCATCATCCTGTGCCCAGATTAAAGCAGGAGGCATGTGGAAAGAAAATATATAACCAAAATATTTCATAACATATGCATGTAAGGGGACCACATTTTGCAGTTAAGATTTTTGAGTACCTGACTATGCAACCTTCATATCGTTTTTTTAATGCATTTTTTCCCACCTAAAATATACACACCCCAATATTCTACCTTTTGCTGTATAAATTTTGAAGGTATTTTTCAACAACAGACTTTTGAAACGTCAGAAATTAACTTCAGCTAACAGCTCTTGATTTAGACACTACTGACTACTTTCATTTTCATGAAACATCAGTAGAAAACGTCCTTACCGTTTTTATTGATCTCACAGCTACAATATCCAAGAAAGTTACTGCTCCAAAATCAAGAATGAGACTGTGGATGGGCACCTTGGGGATGTTTACTTTGACTGGAAGTTCTGAATTCCAGTCCACCTGGATCTCTACTTCTTTGGTGGGAACTTGAAGATCTTGGTTGTCTTCAGGATCCTCATCAGTCTCAAAAGCTTCATTATTAATGCCAGGCTCACTGATGATGCCATTCTGATGTGCAGATAATACAAGTGGAATATAGAATTTAATCATGGTAAAGTTTTGGAGTTACAGAAAATATTTCCCTGTGATACCTTCTGTTTCAAGAATGAACAAGACAGATACCTGTGACCAGTACCCCCTGCTCCAAATCCTGGTAATTTGGTTAGCATAACTAATGCCATTTTATAAGGCAGGAAGCCATTCTCTATGGCTGAGCAGGTCATGTATTTGTTCCCTTTCCCCTTATTCTCAGGCCTTGAAGTCCTGTGAACCAAGCAGACAAACCAAACAGATTTCTTCTTCCCCTCCCTACTGACCTCAAGATTCCTGGACACCAGACTGGTTACTCCCTTACCAGCCTTGAAGGTCCCAGACACCTGGTTGTTCCTGAGGACCCCATCACGGAACAGGGGAGTGTAACAGCGCAGAGCACTGTCTGTGACGAGTACTAAGTGGGAAATTTGGGCCAAAACTGCTGCTGGAGAGTGAGTCCTGTGACCCCCCCAGTGGTCAGGGATGCCACCACTGTTTTCTGTTTTCTCTGAGTATTGGTGACTCCTCTTCCTGTATGTCATTTTCAAGTCTAGAGTATGATTGTTACATTGATACATCAGACCATCTGACCTGATCTGCAGAGAAACCCTAAGTTAGAGTCTAGCTGATTAGAGACTGTAAGTTAAGTTGTGTTATAAATTCTGTATTATGCTACTTATAAATTGTACTACATTAATTCTGTTTGTAGAAATCCTGTGCCATTCCAGTCATAAATTCTGTGCTATACTAGTTGCAAAATCCTGTTAAGAAAAATAAAGCTGTAATTGTAACTATAATTTAGTGCCATCACCATTCTGCAAGGATTCCTAAAAGAATGTCTCCTGTTGCATGACATACAAGAATTTAGAGAAGAACAAGGCAGAGCACATAATTATTTCCTCTTCTCTTGTTTGTTTATTAAAAGAGCATCTTCCTGCAAACTGGAAAAAGAAGTACCTCAGAGTGATTCCCTCCCTCAGTAGCTTCATTTCTAGGAGATATCCAAGACCAGTATTTTCAGCTTTGAATTAGATTTACTATATATGATTCTGTGGTAAAATTACCAAATCAAAAGCTGGAAGGTCACATAAACTGAGCATTTAACTGCATCACAAATTGAAATGTATACAGGAAATACTGCATCCTTCACTGAGAAGAGAAAACCCATTTCTAACTTCCAGTTCTGGAGATTTACTATATTGCCCACAGTTGTCCACTCCTGTAAGCATTTAATTCTTGAAATGCACAATCCATACTCAGAGAAACATGCCACTTTCTCTAAAGAGGATGTAGTAAGCTGTGTCTGCCAGGCAGCTGCTACGGCTCACCTGTGCATAGGAAGCTGGATAATAGGAGCATGGACACACTCAGGAGCCAGCACTTTTACTGCACAGAGACAATCTGAGGTGGTGAGGGGTAGAAGCAAGATAAGAGTATCTCTTGCTTCCATTCCTGCTAACACTATGACTGTCACAGCTGCCTGAATCTATGAGGCCTCTGGCAGTAGGTGCACTGCTCTGCTAAGTCTCATGCAGGTCATAGACTTCCTACTATAGTAATAAGTCACACTTTTCATCTTTATTTTAAAGATGAGTACAGAGAAATTAATAATTAAGGCTAAAGTAATAAACTCCAATAGTAATCCTTTGAGAAAGAATCAAAAGAAAAAAAAAGGCTTACCTTAGTAGCTTTTAGTTTTCCCTTCTTGATTAGCTTTTGTATTTTTCTCAGTGCTTTGAGTCTCTTATTATATACCTTGACTGCATCAAATCCCACCTACAGAAAAAGAACCAAAATTATTTAACTTAACATAGATATAATTCTGAGGAAATCTCAGGGTTAGTTAAAAGGCTTCCAAACCCATCAAATATCACTTACTGTGGATTTGAGGCTGCTTTTCAGTCCATCAATGTTAGCATAAAAAATTGGACTTGCAAACTTGAGAATCTTCACACCTTCTGGTTCTATAACCTGTTGCCAAAGAAAATAAGATTTAGCAGCAACAGCTATATTTTGACTAATAAGAAGTAGTTTAACTGCTTCAACAGTTCAACTACTTATCTAATTCACAAAAATTGCATATATTTACTGATAATTTAGCATATTCAGTTTTCAGAAGCTTACAGCCCCAGCATCAATATGGACAAACCATCTGGATCAAGATGAATTTAATGCTGAAACTTGTTATCTTCAAGGACTCCACTTCCAAATTCAAGTCCACAATATTCAAAGCACAACTTTTTCTTACACTGACCTGTGGGCTGAAGGGAAACAACTCAGCAATTACTTACATTTTTGTAGTCCTTGACCTTCTTGTAGATGTCTGTGCCAGGAATGTTTCCAAAGCCTCCCCATGAAGGACTAATAGAAACAAAAAGAAAAGATATTGCAGATAAACATCATACATGGGCCCTCCCAGAACTGAAGGGATTGCTGCATACAAACTATCTCAGACTCTCATAGTTTCCTTTCCAATGCCAAACTAACAGACTCATTGCAAAAGTGTTGAATGTATTTTGTGTCACTGTAGTGAATGGGCCTTTTAAAGACAAGGTACTTTGGTCTCAGTCTACTTGCTGCACCATTTTGATTTAGATCTGAGTGAATAACTTGTTCAGTTTGTTTCCCAAACCAGAAAAATATTTCAAAAGCAGATTAGTTTGGTTTGAATTAAAAATAAAAACAAAACAAACAAACCCAAACAATTTTTCCACTCTGAAAAAAAATTAATTTTGTTCAATTCTAATCAACTGAAACAATACATTTACATTCTTTTCAGGTTATGTAAATCTTTTTGTTGTCCAACCTTTTTAATTTTTATTTCAGTCAACATTAAAACCAAAATATTTTGCAGTCTCCAGATATAAATTTAACAGTTGAAGCAAATTGATTTGAAGTTTGTAAACCCTCATCTCCCTTTTATATTTTGATTATATATATCTGAATTGAATTTGGGAATTGAGGTTCTTCAAATTCCACTTTTTATAATCTACTACTGTGTAACAACTTTTGCAAGACTTTATTTTTATGTATTTGCTGACAGGGCAACTATCCACTGGTAATGCTAGTAACCGTATCGTGTGGATTTCAGGCTGAAGGTAAGGAGTCATGTCGTATTTTCAAATAAAAGATCAATGAATAGTAACAAGATGGTCAAATAAGGTCCTTCAAATCTACCTTTTCTCACCATTCTACTACCTTATGTTCTTTAAGAAGCAACAAATCAGCCACAAGCACAAAATTTTTTCTTACTCTCATGTTTTCTCTTGTTCTTCTTTTACAGGCACACAGTCTTGCATAAGCACTAAGTGAAAAAGTTATTGGCATGTGCAACATACTGTAGTACTATTACTTGCTAAGAGTTACTATAATGATCAGTTAATTACAGAAGCCATAGATCTGTTTATATTTTATCTGAAATGCTCCTATCCCTTTCCAGAACTCAGTTATGTGGCTACATAGATAACATATGGCTAAGTACCACCAGAATGGCCAACATGATATGAAATAAATACTGATAAAATAATGCAGCTTCTCTTTTGTCAGTTTAATTAAATGATAGCATACAAAGAGTGATTTTTTCTAAAAAAATAGATTTTTTTCATTTCAACATTTTTGTAAACCGAAGGAGATTTTCTGCCACAAATCATCTTGCTTTTCAGCATTTGGTATTCCTTTTTCACAATATAACACTAAGAATTACTTCTGATCTTGTGTTACTTACAACTGAACTCTCAGCACAACTGTCAGCAATCCAAACAAAAGGCCAGCAAGTAATCCCAGATCAAGTCCCAGTATGATGGATGCTATACATGTAAAAACCCAGATCATCTGGAAAGGAAATAACAAATGTAAAGTCTCTTAATTATAACACATGACTCCTGGTCACACTAAAGAATCACTAGAGCAGACAACATGAGTAGCAGAAGAATTTCACTTTGGAGATGATCGCAGCACAATGGCAATAAGCTGACTTCCATTCAGAAGTCTTCCTCTTCATTCAAGATGCTCCTATCCATCACTATCTTATTAGGCATTACTAGCTTTTTAGGAAATAAGGTGGTTTTTTTAACATAACATTTTTCAAGGATCCAGTTACTTTGGTGAAATTTAATCAGATGCAGTTAACCACTGCATTTACTTCTTTCTATGGTGGCAATATTTGTTAATCTTTCTTTAGACATCAGAAAGAATTTATTTTACCAATAAAACACTGTAAAATGCCCCACCTGCAGACATATCGGTAGGGAAGGGGATTTCTCAGCGATATCTAAGAATCAGAACTGTCACAAAGAGAGGTATTTCATATCAACAGGTTGATGGCACTCTCTAAGGTCTGCACTGAATATTCAGGCAGAACAGTTGAAGTGCACTCCTCAGTTCCTTCCAACGTCACTGCCCAGGCAGAACACGCAGTAGACTCAGTCTTTCAAAAAGCTGAGTGCTCACACTTCTCACTGAAGTCAGTGGGATTTTTGCCTATAAACTAGTAAATGATTGACTAAAATACCCCAGATCTGTCTAAGGTAGGTACTGCCCAATAACACTAACTGTAAAATATAAGCACAGTAAGGACTGCATGGAGAAAATGTCTTCCATGCAATCTTTTCCTGCCCTAACAACCACAGTGAAGGTCTATTCCATGGAAAACACAGTGGGATATGTGAGCAAGTACCCTGAGGTATGACTATAGTGGTTCATAAGAAATGTCTGTTAATACATCCCTTAGCATGCCAAATGAATCCACATTCTAGCTTGGATTAGTCTTGCTACAAGAAGAAAACATGTTTTCTGAGGACTACCTGAGATTATCCAGGCAAATAGGATGCTAATGTGGTAACAATATATGTACATGAATTAAAGAAAGGTCAGCTTATTTGACTCATTTAAACTGTGCAAAAGATAAAATCAGAATGGTAAAGGTGGTAACTGGTCATCTTTATTCTGCTTTTCAAGCCATATCAACACAAGATTGCTTTGTCATCACTGCACACGAATACCCTGATTGGCACCCTTACTTGGGGTACAGGGAATAAAGAAGATTAGCAGAATACTACGTAAAACTCTAAAATGGGGAATTTTTAACTGACTTCATGGCACTAACATTTCGAGGATTCACATAAAAGTTTGATGATGTTAATTCTACAAAATCCTGTTTATGTGGTAGTTAGAGGAAACTTGATGGCATTAAAAAGCTAAAAAAAAACCCCAACACTCCCCTTCAAACAAAACAAAATCAAAACAAACAAACCAGAAAAAGAAAAAAACCTCCTGGAGGAAAGAAAAAATTAGGCTACTTACAGCATCCACTTTATTCTGTCTCCACAGACGGGGAACATCAAACACTTGCATGAACATCCCTTTCAAGTTAGCTATGACTACAGCTGCCAACACAGACTGTGAACAAAAATGATGAAAAAGTAGTATTCAGAATCAAAGGCGCATATTAAGATAGTGCTCAACATTATTCACTATAAACCAAGCCTTGTCTGCAGTCAGTCACCACAGTTTATAGAGGGATAATTATCCTGCCCATCATAGTTGAGCATCTGCATCTGATGTGGCTGTGCTGCAGAGGAAGAGTACACTACCTTTTGTAAGGGCTCTAGCAATTTCCCCAGGGCAACAATAGAAATCAAAACAATCCCAGCTGAGATTATACCAGCAACCTGCAAAGAACAGAGTATTTATATTATTAAGACTCTATCATATATTTCTAGGATTACAAAGACAAAGGTACGAGTAGTTGCACATTCATTTATTTAGGAACAAGGAGACCCTCCAAAATGTCATGGCGTTTGGGCATATGTGGGCAATCATTATAGACACTTCAGCTAACACAGAGGAGATTCAATCAAGCAGGTCGTCTAAACAACTACATGCAAGGTAGTAGCTCTCGGAGAGGTTACGCTACACAGACATGAATGGAGCAGTCTGTGTGTCAGCTGGAAAAGGGGGTTGCTGGTTCTCCAGTGTTCTCCAGTGTTTAAAAATGCAAAACTGTAGTACTGTTAAACAAAGCAGCTTACTCAACATGAGAAAGATGGCACATGGTCTGATGGTGAATGGCAAATGGCAGCACTGCTCAGGCCAGCACATGGGAACTTCAAAATTGCCTAGCCAGCTGGGAGAGATTTCCTCCCTCATTCGGAATTCCTACTGTGACAAACTCAGTCCTTTAACTGGGAATGAAATTCTGGGGAAGTAGAGTTGAAGGATTTCTGACCCCTAAGGTAACTCATGGTATGTAAAACTTGATTGCCCTCTTCTGGCAGAGCTACAAAAATGATTCACTACCAGAACACGAGCTGCTAGCTAAGATATCTGTGACTTTCCATGTGCCAGCAACACAGTCATTTTAGGACTATTTTCATCCCTTTGTGAAATCCGTGTACTATTCAAAATAAATTTACCTGTGCACAGTACTAATAAGAAGAGATCATTACCTGAGTCTTTCCACCAGTACTTTCTTGGACTGCAGTCCGTGAAAGAGCAGTAGTTGCAACAAAACAAGAAAAGGCACCTGAAAAAATGTTGCTGAACCCAAAGGCAATAAATTCCTGAAAGATAATTGGATGATGCTGTAAATGCAGATGCCTGAAGGTAGTTCTGCAATGGAGAATGACAATAGCTTCTGCAGTAGTTGATAAAGTAGATAGCATAATAATATTGAGAAGAGTATGAACTAGTAATAGCTGTTAAATGTTTACACAGATTCCTTTTATGCCAGTGCAGCTACCTCTGTCTGAAAACCAATACAAAGAAGTTAGTATAATCCCCCTGACATGGACATACTTGTCTGAGTATAAAGGTGTTTAAAGCTTATTTCCATCAATTTTCCTAACATTTCTAAGAATTATCCTTGTATAATTGCATCAAGAAATGGTAGTAGTATAAATTTAACTCCCAGGTATCATCAGATAAACAAATTATTTTGATCAGTACAGCAGGCTGAGTTTAGGCCTTTAACTAATGCAAAGCATCGTATTATTAGTAAAATTAATAAGAAACTTTGCAATAAAACACAATTTCACCGAAAACTTCTAGTTTGTTGAGCCAGAAGTTTTTCACTCTAAACATCCCAATGAACTCATGCTGAGTCCCAAGCAGAATTCTCATATATTTGCCCCAGAGTGACAGATGCTGGTGCCTATTGATGCTCGCTGTTGTGCTCAAATGACAAGGACCATGGGAGCTTTATATCCTGGGATCTGGGCCATTCCTCTGCTGGGAAACAAGGAATTTGGGAACTGTCTGCAACCAACCCCATATGAATTGACAGAAACATTGTTTTCACAAAGCTGATGCAGGCACAGGAGCTTTTCCTCACTGCAAACTTTTAAAAAGACAATTTTAGATTTCAGTTTTACTGTGTCCCTTCTTTTCTCCAAAATTAAATTTCCTGCAAGTTTTTCATTAAGCTCCATCTAAAAGAGCAGGATTTTGAAGTCATGTTCTTTAACAGAACAGACCTAGATGATTCATGCCTATTCCTGCTGTAACAGTTGTGATCTGTGAGAAAATGTTGGAATTATAGTTCCTAGTGTTCTTAGGTCTTAATAATCTATGAATCTGTAAAGACAATATAAACACTGGCAGATAATAATATTGACCCATCCTTACAAATTATTTTACTACCTGCTTTTATGATGTTATTTTAATTTCTCCTGATCAAGTAAACTATTTGCCCATCATTCAGGGCTGCATTTAACCTTTGCTACATGCAAAATTCATAGTATTGAAAGGAAGGCAATTTTCTTTTAAAGACCAATTCTTCTACTACAATATTTAATCAGTATGGTTGAAGCACGCGAGTGCTGGCAGAACATATTCAACAACAGAACAGCATAAACATCACTTCCAGGATCATGTATTATTCTTTCAGATTTGTTTTTGGGCAATATGTTTTGGCAGATATGAACTTTGTGAATTGTAAACTGACGAACAGAAGCATTGTTTTCTTACATACTGCAAAACAGTGTTTCCAAAATCAAACTTTATGTAATGCATTAGTACTAAAATAAAGGACTCATTAGACAAAGTACTCAGCTTATCTATTTATGTAGTTAGTGCATTCTCTAATACTCTCAAAGGATAAAATTAAAAATTACCATAGATGCAGGACAAGGAAGTTTTCTGACATTTTTCTTCCACACCCATGGGCAAGCCACAAAACCCCCAGTGAAGACACTGAACAAGTGCAGGAATTCCATAAGAGCTGGTGACTGCACAGCTCACGTCACATTCTAGCTATGTGTCCTTAGAAACCAGTGCTTAAAGCAGTTCAGCCATTTATTGCAGACAGTTACTCAAGGATGTTCATATGCTGGTATGCATTAAGTTTTGTGAAGCTGCAGGACTGATCTATTAGGTTACAACTATATTTATAGTGGTGTAACTGGTGTCATGCTGAGAAGTACAATAATTTATTAACTGAAAAGTTCAACTGATACAAATCCTGCATGTAGACTAAGCCTAAATAAAGCTGTCCAGAGCAACTTCTTGGCTTGACACTGCCTTTCCCTGCCCCAGCAACACACCTCAAAATATGCCTTAGAAGAGGAAATGGAAAATAGGTTGCTAAAGCTGGCCATGTCAACTTGACATCAGAAGAAAATTCCCCTGTACAGTGCTTACCCTTTTAGAGCTACTGCAGTCACTAAAGCAATACAGAAGGAATGAATTAGAATGAAAAGCCCATATTGAAGATAGAGCACATCTGGCTCATCTCTATATGGACATTCCAGCTAATTTTTTTTTCAATAGTTGAAAGAATTTCTCCTGTCAGACTTCAGCGCTTGTCTGAAAAACACGTGTGAATGGTGTTTCTTTCATTTGGCTACATAAGTCAACATGAAACAGAACTTACATTCACTATGTTTCTAATTTTTTTTGATCATACATACCTGGTTTCCATCAATAGCATAGTCATACTTGGTTGCATATACTTTTCCCACAGATACGGCAATAGCATAAGCAACAATTGCAATGGAAAAGGAGGCTGCTATCATCTGGGAAAACAGGCTGACATTTGGAGGTTCGGGAGGCAAAAATCTAGCATTTAGAAAATATATTAGTGTTACCAACTTTGATCAAATTCTGTTCTTACTAGAACTGTCAAGGAGTTTGAGGTGGAGGCATACAGGTTGCTTATAATATGAAGTGTAATGTTTCAAGTTAATAAAAAGGTGGAAACAGCCCACTGACATACAGAACATGCTTATCTAGCTCACCATAGCCCAAATCCTGGTGCTATTAGTCAGCAACAAAGCTCCCATTGTTCTCAGCATGACTGAGATTTGGCCTTATGATAGCAAAGTGAAAAACTACATTTTTTGAAGCACTGAATAAAGGATGTATTGAATAGTACGATGAATTACATAAATATGTTAATGACACTCCATACTATTGTTAACATATTTCTTAAGAAGATCTCAAAAACATTTTATCCCCTACTGTGTTTCCACAAACTTTAATTAATCAAGCCCTGAATACCAAATGGAATGTGAAGGTTACTACTGTGAAGTGCTCTGAATCTTTCAAGTGAAAGTCTCTACCAGTGTAATCCTCAGCATCCTTGCTCCTATGACTGTGGAAGTGACAAGACTGATTGGGATAATAGTAGCGACATGAATATGAACCACAGTGGGATAAGTTAGGTCTAGAGAAACTAAATCTATGCCAAATTTCTTTATTAAAATTCCTTATTTTTAGCATTTTCCATAGTCACATAGTCACTTCATAAGCATGAAGCAATTAATTATCAGATGAACCTAATGAATCAGACAGACATTCCTCAGCTCGTTTTACAGAAGAAGGAAGGCTATGCACTACATTTAGGTGGCAGAAGTAAAACTCAGATCTCCAGATCTGAGTTCTAAACTCAAGTTACGTGTCTCAATGTTTCTTTCATGTCTTTTCTCTTAGCACTGTCATTTTTAGCCAATTAAAATAATACCTATTTCCCAGAAAACAAAGACACTCACCCTCTTGGAATGCTTTTAACAATGCCTGCATTGTATTTTTTTTCCAAGTCGGCAGCATATGAAATGCCAGTTGCTACTATTGTCTGCAATAAAATAAAACAAGAGTTTTAAAACTTAAAAAGGTTTCCCGTCTTCCTGTAGCTAGACCCATCTATTTTATCTGTTTTCAGATAATGCCCCTTTGCTTACCACAAGAACTTCTATTGGTATAGGTATTGGTATCTTGTGTTTGAACCGATCATTTAGTTCTTTAACTACCATGCAGACAAAAATGGTGAGGAGTCCAGCAATAAGATCTGCAATGTTGGTGGTACCAATTTTTTCAAATGTTTCAATAAGAGTCTGAAAAATAAAAATGACAACGTAAAACATGCTTGTGTCCACTTCAAGAATGTGAAAATACTCATGAGATGATCCAGATCCATGGGGTTTTGGAGAAGGCCAAGTAACTTCTTTGTGCAGGCTTGGAGAAGCCTGAGGGTAATGTATTGTCAAGGTGTTACAGAATCAGTAAATGAATTTAATGGGGAATTTAACAGAAAAAGCATAACTGCAAGAATTGTCCACAAAAGGGGCTTCTGCTTCCCGATTTTTAGGCAATTAATACTAAGTATGAAGAGCTAACTCCCTACCTGTAATTTACCTCCACCTATATTGGAGCAAGGAGGGGAAGATCTACAGCTTCTTCACTTTGATTAATAGCAAGGGAGATCCTCATTTTTCTAGTCAAAAGAGAACTACCAGAGCCCTGGGCAAAAGCCTGGTTCACTGTGTGCCCCAGTACATGTGGTCTGTGGATTACATGTTTCCTATTTCCCTTGCTGACATACAGCGAATGAGTATGAACATACAGCTCCTACCAGGCTGTGAAGAATCCTACAGTTCAGAAAAGCAGTCACTAAACCTCACCTTACAGTACATTAACCCTCCCAGCAGAATTCAGTCCCAGACTGGAGCACTGTCACAACTGGGCTGCAACAGGCAGCTGCCTTCTCTACCCTTGCTATGCCCTTGTTTGGTCCTATTGTTTATAGCAAGTAAGTGTATGGAAAAAACAAGAATGGATGATTACAGAAAAACCACAAATACTTCTCTGTCCTCCTCCTAAGCATCAGGGTAAGTCTCACTTGCCCACTGTCTCCAAGAAAATGTAATTATTCCATGCATAGTGAAGCTGTAACAGAATGATCTGGTAGAAAAGGAGTTAGAAACAGACTTCTTGCATCCAGGTTAGCTACCCCAGTACTGAGCTGTTGGTTTAAAGAGAAGGGGAGGTTTGCAGCAGCAGCACCCTTCTGAAAAGACTGTGGTTTTGAAATAAAACATCTAAGTGTTTAATCAGCTATGTTTTATAAGTTAAAGAAGAAGCCTTCCTGAAACACTGGATCAGATGCCCTCCTTTGGTTGACTGAAGCCATTTCTTGCCTGTTGTACTGTTTACCACGGATCCCATTCTTACTGACCATCTCTTGCACTGCCCAACTTCACAGGGAAACAGTAACTTCCTAACTTTGGGCTGTGGATTCTGCTAATGTTGGACGTTTAGTGCTGCAGTTTGCTAAACACCACTTTTGAAGCAAGTCCAAAATTTGCTGAAGCTGACACAGCCAGTCACTGGTTGAGCAGACTAGAAATCACAATTTCTCTGTTCTACATGCATCTGCAAACACACTGACTTGGCTCACCCATAAGAACATAGAAGCTTTGAACTTTAACCTACAAAGTCAGGTTTGCAGGAGCTGGAAGAGCCATGTAATTTCTTTTTAAAAATGTGTTCTACTATATCTACCACCCATTCAATAAACATAAAAAAGAGACTGAAAAAAAATGCTGGATTAATAAGTCCATCACCCTGCCAGGTCTGCTCTAAGGTGTATTAGACAGTACTTTGTCTAACCTAATTTTCCTTGTTCTGAGGGAAGAAGTTTTCATTAATTCTGAAACAGCCCATAACATAATACTTTTTTCCCCCCAAAATAGTCCATATGATTTTTTTTCTAAATTTTACCTTGCTGCTTGTTGTTATATTCATCCCATTTTGCTAATCTAGATGTCTAATGTATTATTGTTAGTCTGGTTGCCAGAACTGGTATGTAAAATCTCTAAATACATTTTTTTTTTCCTAGAACAGCCTATTTTAGAAATCTGCTATTCTAATATGAAGTGCTATGGAATATCTAAAATACAGTGAACCTGAATAGTTTCATGCTGAAGTCAGTGACATCTTCAATAATATTCTTGGGAAAGGATACTATTCTGTAATATAACACCTCTAGGAATTCAGTATTTCTGTAATGCAGCCAAGACATTTCTCCCTTTCATCATTTTCTGTAAGAGCAACAAATCTGTTGGCTGTGATAGCAACATTTAGCCTCACATTTGCTAACCAGTAGGTACCTGGCCCAAGAGTGAGAGTCCACATCCTTCTTTAGGTATTCACGAGCACAGCTACACTGTGGAATGAAGAACAATGCCCTTCCCCAGAATGACCTGCTTGGGACTGGCCAGCTGTGGGAGATGACCTGACAGTGTTAAGAAATGATGAAATATCCTTCCCAATAAGCCAGAAAGCAAGGGGTGGGACAAAAAGTAGTCTTCAGAAGTGAAAAACTGTTTTGCTGGATAATTACATTTAAACCTTATGTGAAAAACTACTCTGCCTGAAAATGGTGGCAATAAGACTTTCTGTCTGGGAAACCCCAAAAGCAGCTACTTAGAGCCCCACAGCTACAAATGAACACCTGCAGATCTTCAGGAGAGTGAGAACTAAATGAATGCCCTATACTCACCCTATATATATGAACCATTCCTGTGTGAAATGGAAGCAGAAGATAAGCAATAATATAAAAAATCTGTCATAAAACCAAAACAGATTAGAAGGGCATACTTACATATATTATGGAAAGGACACCATTATAATTTTTAGTTGAAACATTCAGGACTATTTTCAATTGTGACACAAGCACTTGAAAAGCAGCTGCAGTTGTGAATCCCCCAACTAGTGGATCTGCAAGGTACCTCACAATGAAACCAATCTGGAGGACTCCAAATATTACCTGGAAAAAAATCACGAGGAATAACAGCTTGTTGAACAACAGAAATGTACATTTTTATTTGGGGATTTCTTATGTTTTGTCTTTTCTCTTTGTTGATACAGAGTCTTAGGACTATATTCCCCTACTTCAGCCTAGTGTAGCTTAGTATCATCCATTCAAGGAACTAAAGGAGACCTGAAGAAACGTGTGAAAGGAATCTCCAGGATATGCACCATTAGCACTTAGTTTCACACAGATCTTCTGGTCTACAATCGCAGGGCTATCCTGTTCTCTGCACTCCCAGTCAAGCTGTCACAGACTATGTCCACAATACGAAGAATAATCCTCCAAAAGCTCTTCAGAGTTTGAGATAACTTTACTCCATTTTTGTGTTTTGCTACAGGAAAATGTCTGACTGCCTTAGTAGGTATTTTCCTGCCATATGTTTTCCCATTAAAATGTCAACCTTGTGTCTTCAAGTGAACTATTTTACCTGTAAGATTCCAACCAGGAATGTGAGAGTACTAGCAATCAGCACTCTCTGTGCATCTCTGGATTCAGTGTCTATCAGTGTCCCAGTACTATTAGTCCCTGTAGCATTAATGCCTTCTATGAGAAAATTCTCATCAGGGGCCATGCTCAATACAACAGATCCCACCATCAAACTGACTACAGGAAATGGACCTGTAATGAGAAACAAAACACACTGAAGTTTAATATACATTGAAAAGAAGCATTTATCAGACTAGGCAAGAAACTCTAAATCAGAAAAACCGTGTAATATTTTAATTGGGCTACATTAGTAGTATTAGGGGGCCCAGAGCCACAGCACTGCGTACATGACACAAAGATACAATTCTTTTCTTAAATAAGTTGTGTTGCACATACAGGTAGAGGTGCAGTTTCATGCTGTGCTTGAGCCAACTTAGGGCTGTACCAAGGCCAAAAGGGGCAACACGTTCAACATGTTCCAACCATCTCCCTTGTATCAGCACCACAATGAGACAAAGCAGAACACCAATCCAAGTGAAAGCAATATTTATTTGAGTTTTGGGTTTTGTTTGTTTGCTTGGGTTTGGGGTTTTTTCCCAGGTTTTTTGATTTGTTTGTTTTTGTCATGGTTAGTTTTCAGCTGATCCAGAGTGCCACATAGCTACATGGTCAGGGATCCCAACATGATGGTGAGTGGCAGGAACATGGGGTAGGACCACATCTTTTGGCAGCAGTGTGCTATTACATTGGCTAAAGATGACTGAAACTATACATTGGGCAGGACACAGAGAGAGTGATCATTGTGTCAGCAACACACAATCTAAAACTAATCATATTTGTTGCAGTTAGTTATTAAAATTTTGCAGAAAAGGAAAATGTCTCGAAATGTCTTAAAGAAGGATAAGTTAATTTTACAGATATCTTAGAGGACACTTCATGAATAAGAGTATTGGGAATAGCATAAAAATGGAGTGCTTGATAATCCAGAAAGTAGGAATGCCACCATACATAGACTTAACAACTTAGATCTGGATAGCAAATGTGAGCTGATAGGTAGGGTAGAAAGAGGTTAACAAAGTTGAGAAAACTTTGCATTTGATGCAGCAGAGAAGAAAGTCAATGAAAAAGCGTAATACCATGCCAAAGCTCTGGGGGGTGGAAACAATCTATTCTTAGTAGAAACGAACGAGGCAAGACTGGATTTTGTTAGAACGAAGAAAAAGGAATTTTAAATGTGAGAACTGACAGGAAACAAACCTCATATTTAAAAGTATTCAGAAAGAATCAACAAGGTTTACCCATAGCCTTGATGTGAGGACCTAGAGCGAGGCTGGAGCGCACACACAGGTTCTGGGTCTCCGCGACAGGCAAGAAGAAGATACTGTCCACAGTAATCAAAAAGGATGCAGCAAGTAAGGCTTGTAGAGAAGACTAAAAGAGCTCTGTTTTAGCCATCTTGAGCTTTAGCTGATAGACAATATGTCTGTCATTCATACTGCCTACTGAGGCCTTGGTCTTGTAATTTCTTGCACAGGGTGTAACCAAAGACAAGATTTAAACTTCAGCACAAATTCAAGCAAAAAGCAGGGGCACAACTGAAGTTAGCTATTATGCATAATTGCCTGTATAGAGAAGAAATAAGCCTTAATTTCCCTAGATCCACCAATATTAATGTTCAGCATAGCCAATTTGGTTCAGAAAGTAGTTATATTGTATGGAATATGAATGTCCACAGTAAGGATTAACATTTTGTAATAGATAATTCACTGTAACTTGAACACATGCAGTTACCAACTGAGATGTGCCTTGATGTTCCCAGGAAAAAGTATGTCAGGATGGGAAAAAAAGCAGAATAGAGACCATATCCAACAGGGACTGCAACCAGCAAAGCATATGCCAAACCTGAAATGATAGATCATCAAAATATCAGATTTAAAATCTCTCAGTAAACTACTATCTTTTCTAGAATAGACTTTCAGAAAGATTTACTGCTTTTGTCCAGATGCAATTTAGAATGTGTTTTGTCTGTAAACCAGTTGCAGGCACATAGATGAGTATCAATGACTGTAAATGACTGTATATCCCACACTGGTACTTGGATGAGTAAATACTGAACGTTGTTCCTGTATTTGCATAGGCAGTACAATACACAGGCTCAGATGGGAAGTTTAAGTGGGGAACATTGTTGCAAGAGTGAAAGGTCTGCCTCTTGAAAGAAAAGGGGGGGATATATGAAGTGCTCTAGTTATAGACAGAAATTTCAAGCACAGACTCTGAATTATTGCTCTGAAGCACATATACAAATATGCTTCAGTGTGTTCAGCCCCTGTGAAAATCAGGCTACTTCTTTTTCTAGTATCAGGTTATGAACTGAACTACCAAAAATAACTCACACAAATTTGAGAGTTTTGGTTCTTCTTCCTTTGTATACCTGTGCAAGCTGTCAAATCCAGCAAATAATAATAATAATAATAATAATAATAATAATAATAATAAAGTTGCCTTCAGTATCATATGTTGGCTCCCACTGCAGAGTATAGTATGCTCCTTCAAAGATGCTGCAAAAACCTGTACGAGTTCAAACAACTGAAGTCCTGGTCATACTACTATGACTGGTGGGAGGGCTCCAAGCAACACACATAACTGTTGGGAGTTAAGGACTTCAGGGACCTCAAGATCCCAGAAGCCTCTTTTTTGGCAAATATTTGGCCAATTTTTCCTATAATGCATGTTTTAAAATGTCAGAGCTATTAAATTTTTTTAAATTATAGCTAGGTTTAGACTTGCACTTATTTGTTTTTTCCTTTTTTTTTTTTTTTTAATACATAGGTGGGAGGCCAGACAGTATATTTCAGAAATTGGTTTTACAAATGGATTCTATTTGACAGAAAATCAAGCCATCGAAAAAAATAAATGAGGAGGTTATAATCAGAGCATAAAAACTTAAAAGTCCATCTCAGTCCAGTTCATTTTAAAAAGGCAGGGGAATCCTCTAACTGTGCCACTACCTTCAGCAAAGATCTTCCAGCTCTGACACTCTCCTTGGGAATTTCTGCAGGAAAGAATCACTTGTTTTATTCCTCAGGTCACCCCCTGCCTGAAGCAGAGGTTTGTAATGCTTTTTTTCTGCTGGTCTGTGCTTTCCTACCGTGCTCCAAGGGAACAGACAAGAGGGAGTACTTGTGGCTAATTAGGAATGCGTAAACTGCTTTGTTTCCGATGTAAATCTTTGCCCCCTTCTGCAAACACTGAACTTTCACTGAGTGAAGTGTGGGTTGACACAGCTAGCTTTGCCTGCCCCAGTCCTCAAAAATTGTGAAAATAGTGTAAGAACTCTATTGAGATGAAAGAAATTAATGTGGTGGATGTGTCAGAGTTATAGCTAGTCTTGTTTTTGATGGATGCTGCCTCAGGCCAGATGGTTCAGCCCTCTGAGTCTTCCTTAAGTAGCTTATTTTAATTAATTTCTGCTTATTTCTGCCACTTTCCTATTTGTTTACCTAATGAACGCTTTACTAATAAACGCAATAAGGAAGTAAGGAAAACTTAATATTGCAAGCCATGTACCATGAAAATCCACCAAGTTTAATTTTTTTTTTTAAATGCGAATATGCCACCACCTCCTTAAGGGTTATCTTCTGTAGATATCTGAACAATCTTATGAGGTGAATTTTAAAGAGGAGTAGGTATCAAGGTTGCATTATTTTAGGGCAATAAGCAGATTTTTGTAGGCAGTTGCAGGAGAACTATAGACTTAGATAACCAAGAAATAAGACTACACAACCTACCTGATTCATCACAATGCAATTAAAATTTTAAATATCAGAATGGATACTCTTTGAGTAAAACACCTGGAAGAAAAGTTACATCTTGACAGCATCTCAGAGGAAATTTAAATCTTCTAGCCAAGCAGAGGAAAGGAATAAATTAATTATTTATTGCAAAATAATACCTAATATCTAGTATTAAATAACAAGCCTCAGATTTGTAATTCCATCTGTATAACGTCCCTGTGTTGAGCCAGCTCCCTCATAGGAAGGTCCTGGAGAGCGGGGCGCCGGCGTGCCTGGCTTTACCTTGAAGGGTTGCGACGAGGCCGGTGCTGATCCCCGAGATGATGTCGCTGATCAGCCACTCTTTCGCCCGGTAGTTGGGCAGCCACTCCAGGATGGGCAGAAAGGACTTGGCAATCTGAAAGGCCCTTTTTCTGGAACATCTGCGAGAAAAACAAGTAATGAACACACCCCACGGGGCTGCAGTTGGAGAGCCCCAAGAACCCCGAGACCCCGAAGCTGACAGAGAGCGGAGCTGAGCTGATGCGCACCGGTCATCTCTTGACAGAGACTGACACTGTCGTGTCTTCCAGGCAGGGAGGGACGGGGCATGAACTGGTGCCAAAAGTGCGGTCCCTGAAGGAAGCACCCCGCCGGCGGCTTCGATACGCTGAGGCGCAGGGACGGGTCTACCGACGAGTCTGGCGTTGTTCGGGCCACTCCATCCCTCGGCGGGTGGAGTTCGTGGGCGCCGGGACCGCGCGTCTCCCGGCGCCCCCGGGTCCCCTCCCGCGGCCCCGCGCCCGGACCCACCTGCAGGCCGCCTGTGCCCGCTCGCGGAGCGTGGGCGGCAGCGGCGGCCGCCGCTCGTTCTCCTCCTGGAAGCCCGGCTCGCTGTAGATGGGCCGCGCTACCACGTAGTGGCTGAGCTCTGCCGGCGGCTCGGCCGCCCGCCCGCCCGCGGCCATGGCCCCGCCTGAGCCGCCGGGCGGCCAGAGGCGCCCGCGCCGGCCCCCCCTGCCGGCCCCGCCGCCCTCAGCCCCGCAGCGCTGTCCGCGTCCTGAACCGCGGCTCCGACGGCTCTGCCCGCGCCCACTCCCCGGCCCGGGGCAGGGACAGCCGGCCCCGCCGCACCCGCATTTATACGGCCGGCCACGGCCCGGCGCTTTATTTACGGGCAAACAGAGAGACCCGGCTCCGGGCCGGCCCGGGCGGCGCCTCCGTCCGCCCTCCCCCTGCCGCCCCGGTGCCCCCTCGCCAGCCCCGGTCGGGAGGGCTCTCCCCGGAGCGGCCTCCCCCCACCCCAGCCCCAGCACGTCCCGTCCCCTCGGGCGGGGGCTGCACTTCAAAGGCGGCGGCCCGCGGGCAGGAGCCGGGAGGTGTCGGGGGTCACCGGGAGCGGGGCTGGCTGCACGCACACGGACCCGCCGACAGGTGATGGCCTCGCCCCCTCCCCACCTGCTGCCCTGAGGAGCCTCCTGCCCGCCGGTGGCCGGCCAGAGCGCTCGCTGTTAAGGCGAGCCTGAGGGGCTGAGATAGGACCGGCCGCGCCTCAAACTGCTTAGCCCGCACCGAGTTCCCAAAGCCCTGCTGAATCCAATGGCCCAAGTTTTAGGAGTCGGCTGCCTGCATAGATACAAATGCCTAATAAACAGCATCTGCTCTCCAAACCGCCCCCGAGCTCACCCAGCTGCCACGGTGGGAAGGAAAAGTGGTTTTGGAGCCTGCGGGCTCTGTGTCACGCCTGAAACGACAGAGATGGCCCGGGGCTGCAACTTCTGTTTTCCCCAAGTGGTCATAGAGAATGAACTCCTTGGCAGCCCTGCTGAATTTAGGATTAGAGATAAGACTGGGGCTGAAAAAGTCAGTCTTGCATGCTGAATACTACTTTCTACAGTGCAGCTCTTCCATGCCATGTATGGAAGACAACCTAGCAAAGATCTTGGAGGAGTGAAGCAAAGTATGTGTCCTACTCACCCGGGAGACCTTCTGAAATCAGAATCAGTCTCAGTGTTTCAGCTAACAGCAAGGACGTGCAGAGGAAACACACTGAGGGTACTCCACCAAGCAAAGTATTTCTTCAACGAACTACTCAGGCATGGATATTCTTAACAACCTTGGTTTCAAAGCAGTTTAGTATAGTCCTAACTTCAGACATGTTTAAGCCAACATTACTAAACTGTAAAGAAGCTACTTGCTGAAAGTATGCTTTGTAGCGTTAAAACAGTTCAAGATGTCTAATTCTGCAACTGGCTTTCCCTCTGCCGCATTGTAAGGAACATCTGGGTAAACTGCAGAGCTGTTTTGATCTGAGCAATGTTGTACCTGGCAGTGAAGCACCCAGCTTCCCAAAATGAGTGTCAGCATTTTGTAGAAATTAACACAGGAAGACTAGTTAGAAGAATCTGAACTGACTGTAACTCACACTCCATGCAAATTTGTTTCCTGCAGCACGTGTGTCTGCCTTAACAGAACTCCAAGAACTACAGCACCTCCTGTGATGAGATGCTGTAGGAGCATCTGTACAGATGAGAACTCTGTAGGACCATGCATATTGGCAGAAGTACGCAAGCTCGAGGACAAGAGGGTTCAAGAAAAAAAAAAATCTCCCTCTGTGTAACACAATGCATTTACCAGAATTTGAAAAGACAATTATTTGAGGAAGAGGCTTAAAAATGCAAATCCTAGCTCAGAATGGATCCCATACAGAGACTGATCTGTGTCAAATCAGATGCAACATGTTTCTAAACTGTGACACTGATCCCAGTCAGGATGCATCTCATTCCTCTGGAACACTAAACATTCAAGATAGAAGGCTCTTCCTTTATTTTTCAACTTTAGCTTTCCTGTTTGGTTGGTTGCGAGTTTTTTGTTTGTTTGTTTGTTTGTCTTTTTCTTTTTGATAGCTTGAAATCTGCATCAGTCTTCTGAATCCTTTTGTTTACCTTATTATTTGCTACTATTTTCTAATTAGTTCATGCTTATTTTGTACTTGGTACGAGATAAACAACTTAGAATAGATACACAGCCTGTTTCCAAGTCCCCTGCTTCACAGTATGTTCTCAAGACCTTACCTCTAATGCCTAAGTCATGTCTGGAGAAGAATCAAAGCCTAAGATTTTGTCCTTATTGGCCAAAAATAACAGTTCTTCTTCCTTCCTCACACATTGTCTCTTTTCTGTACCATGTCTTAAATTTAAAAGGAAAGGAGTAGTTTAGCACCTTCCCAGCCAATTTTGTTTCTTGTTTCTTCTTCCACAGTTACAGGAATATGGATCTAAACCTTAGGCTAAGTAAAATGTAGAGTATGCTCTCACTACCGAGGTGAGAAGTTATTACACCATCTCACCAAACACAATTGTCAGCAAAGCTACTGCCTCTGCTGGCTGTGTTTTCAAAGAGAAGAGCAAACCCAATCAGACTACACTGACAGTCTGATCTCAGGCAGCAGGATGAAGGGTTTAAGTTACAACCCTGTAAGCTGAGGGTCTTGCAGACATGCTTTTATCACACCAGTAATTGGTGTCCAATTTCCAGAGAAGTGAGTTTTGCAAGATGCTTCCCATTTTCATTTTCCCTAGTAACAGGGTTTGTTATCTCCTCACTTCCAACAGACCCACTATTGCTAGTATCTAACTCCCCCTGGCCACTGTACATAAGGGTAGGTTCCTCTTCACTAAACCCTGGGGCACCCAAATGTGTTTGTGAATCTGAACATCCCAGACATGGCTCATGCAGACTGAGACCAACTTGGTGGAGTCCAGCAGGGAATCCTTTACCATATGCAATACTGGACTGTGTAGTCTGCTCTCTGCTCCACCCATACTCCCAAAGCTGGAGATGGAATAGCAACATCCTTTTAGGGCAGACTTGCCCTTGCAGGTAGGCACTAATAGAAATTTCCTTTGGGCCACAATTATATTTCAGAGTGGACACAAAATTAGAGGGAATAGACCTTGCAATGCCTGTCCCTAAGATGCACATTACCTCATGAGCAAAACACAAGTATTACATTTTATCACAGAAGTGAAATATTCCACATTATTACTGAACTGTGAAGGCTCAGTTCTAGAATTACATTTTCAGATGTTCCACAATTAACACACGCAGCAACAGTCAGCACAGAGTACTGGAGGACTGGAATGACATAACTGAGAGCTGATTTTCCAACTTATCTGAAAAATTACTTGTACCAGGTTGCATCAGGACCCGGATTACAGCTGCCAGGAGAATAAGCACTGTCCAAAGGCAAGGCAAAATGAGGGTTTCTGTCCCAAAGAGTAAATTCAGAATTTCAAGGAACACTTAAGAATTGAGGCAGTCATGTAATACTTCTACAGTAACTTCACATTTGGAAAAAGAAATGTTATTTCAGTGCTGAGAGAAGAGCTGAGCTTTCGCCCTTTACAAAAAGCTAGGAAGGAAAGTTTCAATGAGGCTACGTAGCCAGGGACTACTGTGGCAGCTAACACAGGGAGTGCTAATGCAAGGGCACATTTTCAGAAAAGACTATGCACAACTTACGTTATTAAAGAAGATGTTACCAGATGTTTGTTGCAAAAATAGAAAATGGGGGAAAAAACCCTGCCTAGCTACAGGTGCTTTTATTTAAGGAAACACCAAGGCATGCAGTTAGGTCTATTAATATTCAGGTCAGTTCTCATGCACCCACCATGACCTCACTGCTTTCCTGACTCAGCAGAAAAAGGGGTTTATGAAAAAAAGATGGATAGAAAAAGATGGATTCTCCACCTCTCAACTTTTTGAAAGCTACAATCAGTTAAACCTGTTGTAATATATTTACAATACTCTCTCCTATGCTTCTCCACCAAAGTATGGAAAATGCACATTCCTACCTTTGTAAAGAGCGGGAAAAAAGGCTGCAAAACAACTAGAAAATTACTTTGACCTTATTTAAAAAGCTATAAATTCTTACTTCTGGAGACATACCCAGAATAAATCAACTGTCCAACACGAGTACAAAAGTAATTTTGATTCCATTAGTGGAGATTTAGCTTTTTTTCAGCTCTTTCCTACATAACAGGCATAGTAACCAAAATCTGACCCAACAGCCTGAAAGATCAGGACTTATAAGCATGAAAATTTGATTCATTCTCTCCATGTATATCAACCATAACTTAAAACATGACCAGTGAGAGAACTGTACTTAAAGTTGATCAACCCAAACTTCCACAGGCCCTGAAAGTAAATAAAAGTGATGTGAATCAATGCAAGTGCAAAATATTCTCAAGGATTTGCCATGCACTAGGATTTACAGATATG